CAAATAATAAGGTCAAATTTTAATTATAAAGCTAATTTTGCGTGTTAAAATTGCACTTTAAATGTAAACCAGTGTTGCAAAAAAAATGAGGAGTGCTCAATAACAATCTAGAACATTTTTGTAAGGGTATAAAAGTGAAAGCAAAGTGTTAGTTTGTTGAATTTCCCAAATAATTCTCTTTGTTTTGGTACACAAATAACTAAAATTAACCAACAATTTATAGAGCTATCAATAAATATTTTGATGTTCACATATGAATTTTTGACAGTCTAATTTATAGTTTTATTCAGTTGCATACTTAGTTTTATTTTGATGCAAGTTTATGATATTTTCTGGTTCATTTAGCAAGAATATGAAGATTAATAATCAAATCCTCAAAGAAATATGATAAAGTTAATACATACATATTTATTTTTTATTTTTTGTAAAATGGTAAAAGTTAAAGAGCTGTCAGTTGTACACACTGGCCCTCAACAAATTCAAGATCGATAAAAATGTCATTGAAAGCTTTTTGCAGATCCTTTTAGAACTTTTTAGAACAAATCTGTTGAAATTAAAATCCTAGCTGCTCGTCCATGATTTTAAACTAATTTTTAATTAAGTCATTATTTCAAAACATATTTTTTCATCTGGCATATGGTAATAAAAAAACTATGAGATATAAAGATGTTATAAAGATGATTACTTCAGCTATCTGCAATACTGTTGAAATTTATTATAAATCTACAATAAGCAATAAAACTACGTTTTTGCATACTTTAAATTGGAGCAATTGCTAAACGAATTAGAATCAAAAGAAGTAACAAATTGTTTTAATTAATATTTTCATATTTAATGTTTAAAAAAAAACGGATTAAACAAATAAAATTAAAATAAATAGCAAATAAAATTGTTATAAACGTCTAGAACTAAACTCCACAACACCTTTCATCAACCGCTCCGCATACGACACATCAGTGATTATTTTAATTTGACACCGTGACCAATACTTTAAAAATTCTCTCTGGCTCGTTCAGATACAAGCCCTAGTTCATAATCTGATTTTAGTTCACAAAGGCATTGTTCGATCCTTTCAAAAATTACCTGCATTTTTAGAGTTTCAAATAAATCTGTTGCTTGAAACATTGTTTTCAAAACTTGCAAGTAATGAAATAAATTGTGAGAAACCTTTCCAGCTCTAAAACAACATTTGACAACATTTTCTATTGCTTTTAGAAATGAAACTAAAGGCAACACAATAACGGACTAACTTTACCAAGGACATCAGCTTCAAGAAGTTTATTCGCATGTTAAAGTAGCTTACAACATGCATTTTTTTAAATATTAGGAGTTCGTTAAATTTTTAAGGGTATTATATAGAAAAAATTAAAGGGGTAGAGCAGGTTTTTTTCAAAAATGTTGTTTTAAGAGCCACTCTAATATATATATGTATATATTTATAATATATATATATATATATATATATATATATATATATATATATATATATATATATATATATATATATATATATATATATATATATATATATATATATATATATATATATAGACCTATGCAATTTTTTTTTTCTTTAGTTATTTGATAGACTGATTGCCCATACCAAACCTTCATTCGATGTAGTAGCACTCCATTGTGAGTCAGGCTCTTTGTCAGTCCATGTAGCAGCACATATATACATATATATATATATATATATATATATATATATATATATATATATATATATATATATATATATATATATATATATATATATATGTATATATATATATATATATATATATATACATATATATATATATATATATATATATATATATATATATATATATATATATATATATATATATATATATATATGTATATATATATGTATATATATATATATATAATATATATATATATATATATATATATATATATATATATATATATATATATATATATACTATATATATTTATATGTATATATATATATATATATATATATATATATATATATATAATATATATATATATATATATATATATATATACACATATATATATATATATATATATATATATATATATATATATATATATATATATATATATATATATATATGTATATATATATATATATATATATATATATATATATATATATATATATATATGTATATATATATATATATATATATATATATATATATATATATATATATATATATATATATATATATACATATACATATATGTGTGTATATTTATAAGAATTTTAGCGCATTTATGCTAGTTCAAACATTGTTCAAAAAAGTCTGGTAAAAGTTTGCACCTTTGTAGAGGTGTACCGAATTGAAAATTTTCAATTTCGACCAAAACTGGATTTGCCGGAATTGTTAAAATTGTTAAAATTGTTATTCCAGCCGGAACAAGAAGCACCTCAGCTGTGCCAGACATTACAAACTCCCCTTCCTTCCCCAATATGTGATCTAATTTATGGATAACCCCTAAACTTTGATTGCAAACAAAAAAACAATTGCCCAATAAGAAGTAAATGTTTATCAAAAAACATGGAATATAAATGTTATTTGTTTTAAGAATATGCCTAATGACCAGTTTATCAGCTTAACAAAGGTTAAAATATTTTGCCAACGATAAGCAATCCTTTAAAAATAAAAAGTATTTAAAAGACATTTTTAAATACACAGACACTTTCAAAATACACATAAAATCAAAACATAAAAAAACTGATTGAATTGGTTATTCTTAAAACAGCACCTGAATATGATAATATTTCCTAAAAATGTGTATTTTGCCTACAAAGAAAAATTATTTTATATAAAATTATTAACTTCCTTCTATACGAAATATAGTACACATGCGAACCAAGAATATTTATTAAATAAAAAATTATAATTTCTATGTCAATGCATGAAAATAACATTCTTTTAAATAAATGAATTTATAAATAAATGAACTTATAAAATAGTTTTAAAATATGCAAAAATAGTTTTATAATATATACATAATATTTTTAACTGAATACTTAAATAAATAATTTTAAAGAATTCTTTTTATAATAATATCAATACTTTTCACAAATTTTTTACGTAATTTGGTAAATAATAGTTTTCAAATTCTTTATAATACCCTTTTGTTGTTATTGTTGTTGCTGTTGCTCTAAATTGGTAGATGAACTAAATGGAACTATAAGACAAGTTGTGCATTCAAATCGCTTTAAATTCTAGCATCTATAACCACTTATCATAAAAGTATTGAGTTTTTTTGTTTTTTTTATTTACTTATACAAAAAATGCTACAGAGATCTAACTATTACAACAAATTCTCAATGATGCTTGATAATAAACAAGAGCTCTGATGCTGATTACAAATTTTCTTTTTTGAGAAATGATTGTTTTTAAAATAGTGTAGTTTCCAAATAGTATACATTAAATCAAAACCTTTTTGGGTAAAATTAATAACAGCAATAATATAAAAACTATAATAAAATATAACCAAAAATATTTAATAGCGTTGCTCACTTCACCTGCATAACAATACATAACTGCTATATGATAAACCACTGCCTAAACATTCTTTTTTTTTTCTGAACACATTGGCTTACTTTAGAATTTGTGATATATAAATATAATCACGGTTCCAAAAAAATCAACTTATTTGGACTTAAGGTAATTTTAGGAATTCACTTCAAAGTTTACGACTATTTGTCTCTTTTCTCAAAAAAATTATAATCCTTTTTTTTTGCAAGATTCTTTTTTTTATTTGAGAGTGTTTACAGAGAGTTCTGATTTTGATTTAATTTATGTTAGCTTAACCCTTTAATGCATGGAAGCTATTATTTTTATCATGGCTTTTTTGCCATGCGTATGGTTTATCTCACTTTTAGTATTTATTACTGCAATACAAAAACTTTTTATTTTCCTCCTATTTCCTCATATTGGAAGAAACAACAAACTGTATTTTAAAAAAATATTTGTCATTTTCAATATATTTGTTACATAAAAGATGATAAATTTACTTTGAAAAAGTATGCAATGGTTGCATTTCTCCTTGTTTCCATTCTGTTCTAGTTTTTAACCAACATGCAACTAAGCCTCTTCACTCTTTCATAAACTTTTTTTAAGGCTTTAGATAAAAGTTTTACAGTTCTTTTCACCGATTGTAACTGACAGATCAGTGAGATAAATTTTTCTAGCAGTATGAATAGTTTGTTGTAACTTATCTGTTGTAACTTGTATAAAAGCAACATTGACATCAACATTGAGCAACATTAACATCAACAAACTCCAATCTTTAACTTTAAAGTTCAAGGGTATAACTGAACATCTTCTTTCCTTAAATGTAACTTAAATCATCTGAAACACATTCTTTCCAAATTTTTCTGTTTCTACCTAATCTTGCTCTTTTTTTTATAGCAAATACTTTCTATATATAGAATACATAAATCCCATGCTGAGCTATCTGTGGCTTACTGTATAACCGCAAAAATAAAATATTTGGTCTAGTATTTCATATTTTTTATGTTCTGGGATTTCTTATTTAATCTTTAGTTACTGGTTTTCTAAAAAACCAAATTGCTTTTAATAATGCAACTTTTATGTCTCTGATAAAAGTAATTAAAGCATTATGAGAAGAAAAAAAAAAGCATTATTAGCTAAACAAAAAAAAAAAAAGCAAAAAAAAAAAAACAATAATACCAAAAATAGCAGAACTCTAATCAAGTAAATGCATATAAGCAAATGAATGCTTTTAAATAAATGTAAAAAGTAAAAATTGTAAATACTTTGCATTTGCTTTCACTTAAAAAAATCTTCAAATTTGTTTTAAAGCAATTTACTAGAAGTAATAAAAAATTCCTTATTTAAAAAAATAATAATAATTGTATTATAAATAATTATATAAAATGATTTATAATTTTTATAACAAAATTTATATAATAAAGAAATGTTTTAAAATAACTTTATTTCATAAAACATTTATAAGATGCAAACCTGGACATTTAATGTTCATGCATGGTAGGCTTTGCATGGTTTCTTGTTGAGATATAAGTGGTGTATTTAAAATGCTATATTTGTAACCAAATCCACATGTTTCACTACACTCACTCCATGTGCTCCACTCTCCTACATAAAGCATTCATGTAACATTTAAATAAACATTATTTGACTAAGAACTTTTCATCATGAACAAAAAATATTTTTAAATATTTGGTTCAGTAAAATGTTATGTGATAAGTGATGTTTAACTATTTGTGGTGGTGTGGTGGTGCATTAATAATATGTTAAATGTTGTGTGGCCGCATGTAATATGTTAAATGTGGTGTGATGGCTTCATAGTGGTATCTTAAATGTTATGTGGTGGTATGCTAGTAATGTGTTAAGTATTGTGTAGCAATGTGTTAGTGATATGTTAAATGTTGTGTGTTGTGTGGTGGTAAATTAGTAATATGTTTTCTGTTGTGAGAAATATTAGAGAAAGTAAAAAGAAAAAGCCATTTGGTATTTATAGACAATTTATTTTATTAATTATGTCAATTTACTTTTATGAGTTCCATACTAGCCCTTGGTCAACTCCCACTGCAATCTTAAACAAGATCCCATACTTATCCCACATTTGTTTGTATTGGTTCTATATAAAACCCATATGCTCTATTTGTATTTATGTCTGAACATAATGAACTATACATAAGACTTTTAAAATAAAGACTTAAAAACATAGAATAAAAACAATCAAGTATGTCAAGTATAAAACAATCAAATATATCAGTTTTACCTTTATAACAAGAGTAGCTTCCTATGCTGTTAACACAAACATTGTTTGTTGTGTTGCAAATGTTACTTGAACTGCTGCATTCATCAATATCTAAAAATAGCAGGATACAACACAATTTTTTTGTCAAACAACACTTTCCTACTCTTTCCATTGCAAAACATCAACAACAACAACAAAAAAACATTCTTTTTGCCAAACTTTATTTTTTTTATTTTCTAAAATAGAAATTTTCAAAGAAATTCATAGCATAACTTTTCACTAAAACCTCAATAAGTTCATTAAATCATTAGCCTCCTTATTTCCAAAAAAATCCTTTTCGTAGAGCTTGTGTCAATATTTTAAGATATTGCAATACTTTGTGCTTCTAAAACAGGTAACCAGATTTTACTTATACCCCTTGAAGATTATTCAAAAACTAACTTTAAATGAATTGAAATAAACAAATTCACAAATGACTTAATATAAGCAACTGAAGTGCAAGTCATGAGAAGCTTGTGCTTAATCTGATCTAAGTCCTTTTTAATCTACTGTTAAAAACCAATTGTAAATAACAATTTTTAATAGTGAAAGTTGTTTAATAAAAACTATGACCTAGTACAACAAATTACATTTAAAAAATCAAATTTTTAGTTTTAAAAGTTCTTTTTTGAAATATGTGCAAAATAAATAACAGGTAAAATTTTTAATAAATTTAAAGTTAAGAATATTTTCAAATCTATGATGCATATTATAACATTGTTTGGAGAAAAAAATAGGGTTAAAAAATGAACCAAAAAGACTGTTTTAAAAATATAGTTAATATATATAGAATAACCAAGGATAATCAATGCGCAAAAAAAAAACAACAACACTAAATTGTGATTTTTTATCTAAGGAAGGGGGGGGGGTGGAGGGGGGCTTAAGGGATCATTTATATATATATATATATATATATATATATATATATATATATATATATATATATATATATATATATATATATATATATATATATATATATATATATACATATATATATATATATATATATCGGGTGATTCATAAATAATGATACCATTTATTTTTCAGTTTTTTTTTACTAAGATATTAACTTACTAACATTCAAAATAGATTCAAAAGATAGAGAAAATTTTTTTCTATAAGATAATGTCTTTTTATTTTGAATAATAGTTTCCACCATTCTCACAAACATGATTTAATCCAATTGAAAAAGAATTACAACTTTCTAAGACAATTTCAAATCTAATTCTCTTTGCTGCACGTTTTAACTAACAGATTAATGTTTTTTTTGAGCTTACTCGACTCCAATCAATAGCATGGTTAAATGGGTTCAAATCTGGGCTATTTGGAGGCCAACGTTCTTTAGGAATAAAATCAGGAAAATTGTCCTGACACCATTGTTGTGTCAATCGGTGTGTATGTGCTCGTGCACCATCCTGCTGAAATATCCAGTTTTCACCAAATACTTAATTGCCATATTTTTTGGCAACTGATAAAACTTCTTCAATATACCTTTCATGGTTAACTGTACCCTTTCCAAAAATAACTAATGGTGATACACCTTTTGAACAAACTTCTAACCAAACCATAACACGTTCAGGAAATTTTCTTCCCTGCTTGATTCCTCCAATGCTATCAGCTTCAACACGATTTGAAGCCCATATTCTGTCCTATTGAGAGTTATAAATACCATCAATATCAAAAAAATTTTCATCAAAAAAAAGGATTTGCATCGTATCAGCTTTTCGATAATTGTTATGAATCCAATTTGCAAATTTAACTCTCTTTTCTTTGTGGTCATCGGATAATAGTGGTTGGACAACTTTTTTGTAGGATCGAAGCTGAAGATCATCTTTAAGAACACGATAAACACTTGGTTGAGAAATATCGAGTTTGTTTGCCAATTTTTGTGTAGAAATTGGCTTTTTCTTCCGTTTCGGTTTTTTGTTTTTTGGTTGCTTTTGTTCGAGCTGTGCGAGGACGACCAGGAGGTTTTGAAAGTTTGATTGTACCATCTTTGGCAATTTTTTTGCACCATCTTTTGATTGTTGGTAAGCTAAGAGTACCACTCAAATCACGAAAAATTTTAGTTGGACGATCACCATTTTTATACTTAGTAATTACAACATTTTGCCAGTCTTGACTTTTCATTGTTACTGATTCACTTGCGTGCGCGCAGAAAAAAAATGAGAATGGTACGTTATTCAGCACAAAATTCTTTTAAGACCATGTGCGGTTCATACTTTGTACTACAGAGGCTAAAATTAATCAATACAAAAAGGTATCATTATTTCAACTCACCCAATATATATATATATATATATATATATATATATATATATATATATATATATATATATATATATATATATATATATATATATATATATATATATATATATATATATATATATATATATATATATATATATATATATATATATATATATATATATACATATATATATATATATATATATATATATATATATCATTATATATATATATATATATATATATATATATATATATATATATATATATATATATACATATATATATATATATATATATATATATATATATATATATATATATATATCATTATATATATATATATATATATATATATATATATATATAAATATATAGATATATATATGTCATTAAATATATATATATATATATATATATACATATATATATATATATATACATTTATATATATATATATACATATATATATATATATATATATATATATATATATATATATCATTATATATATATAATGATACCTTTATAAATACATATATATATATATATATATATATACATATATATATATATACATATATATATATATACATATATATATACATATATATATATATATATATATATGTATATATATATATATATATATATATATATCATTATATATATATATAATGATACCTTTATATATATATATATATATATATATATATATATATATATATATATATATATATATATATATATAATATATATATATATATATATATATATATATATATATATATATATATATTTATATATATCCAACTTATAGGTATTGCATTTATAAGGTCTATTATATAAAAGATCATAATATATATATATATATATATATATATATATATATATATATATATATATATATATATATATATATATATATATATATATTGACCGTCATCCAATTTATAGGTGTTGCATTCCTAACTAAATGTATACATTTTTTCTAATTTATTAGAGAATGCTAAAACTTTAGCATCAGTCCAATAAATATTTCCTTAACAAAAATTTTTACAGTTTAATACACCTGAACTATTTCCTTTTCTGTCATGAATCAATTTTTAGTGTTGTAAAGGTGTAAAGTGGAAACTATCAAACCAGCCTTACCTACATGAGATTTTCTAAACTACAAGTTGGTTTATACACACCTGGTTTGCTGAACTTAGAACACTAAAGTTTTGTTAAAAATGATCACCTAAAAGATTACCTTGAAAGAATGTTGAGACCATTATATTTACTATTCTTTTAAATTGAATAACTTTGTTGTTTGACTTTTAAATTGAATAACTTTGTTGTTTGAGTGAAACTTTAAAGCATTTACCTAAATTTTTTCTTAGACTTTTAGTCAAGTCAAGAAAAAGTTTCATGGTATGAGACAAATGCCTCTCATATATGTGGTGTCTGCACATCATCCAGAAAGCAGGCCTTTCCAAAGCATGATCAACAACATTCTTTATGGCTCTTGTATTCTTGCATGCGTTACTGACTGTGATATCTCAATGGTCTGATTTGACAGCTCATTGTATTCAAGGATACTTGACAGACAATGGGCACTGGTTCCTTCGTGCTTTAAATCTTTAAAATACTAAGTAGGTTCAGTTTAAAATAAGAAAATTCTTTCCTTACTGGTGTCTTGGCTTACAATCTTAGTGAAGCACTAGCTTTAGGCCTCCTATTTTTTTCCATGTTCTGATCAGAGCTGGAGACGAGTCAACCGACTTAAACTCGTGTCCGACTTAAGTCACACCAGTGACTCGATTTGAGACTCGACTTGGGTTTTGCCCTGAGACTTGTAACTTGACTCGAGACTTGCTAATTTCGGCTTAGCAACTTTAAAATTATTATTTTCCGTCTCTTCAAAAAAGGAGCAATTTGTTTTCTATTTTTATTCAACTGTTTTTTAAGTATTTTTTATTTTCGAATGTGTTTTTAATTTAACTTACGTTTAACTGGTTTGTAGTCTAAGCGAGATCCGAAGAAAAATATCGCATTTAGGCTCTTTTGTTTTCAAAAAAACTTCAACTCTTTTGTGTGTGTTCTGATTGGTTCATTTTTTCTTCAACTCATGAAACTTATTGTTTATAAATGTTCGGTGATTTTAATTTCTTATTTAAATTCTTTTTTAATTCTTTTTCTTTTCTTAACAATCTTCATTTTTCTATTATTTATTTTTACTTTCAAAATTATCTTTAAATATTATTATTTTTTCATAAAATTTATTTATAAAATTCATTATAAAATAGCGTCCGCCATTCCGTAAGTCTTTTCACTGCTGTTATAATTTTAAGTATTTAAAATTGTGTTTGCTACTAATTTCAGCGATTTGTAACATTTCATAAATTATCTTAAAACTATGAGTGCTATAAAAATTCAAAAAATGCCTGCAGTGCCTGAAATATGTAATTTTGGTTATATTGAGTTAGAGATAAAAAAAAAGAAAAAAATAGATCGGCACGATGTAAATTTTGTCAAGCTTTAATTACCGATGGAGTTGCAACTACAAGCAACTTCATTCTCCATTTAAAAACACATCCAGAAAAATATGCATTATATCAAAAGTTAATTCAGACCAAGACCAACGGCTGCTACACCAGACCAATCTAAGGTTTCAGACTTTCGAACAGGTTATTTACTTATACTAATTTGCTTTTATTTTATTAGATACTTAAAATATATTAAACCCTCGAGTCCTTCATTCTATGTCTGCGGTAATCTTCTACCTCTAATAGACTATTAGTCTACTAGAGGTCTGAAATTCCAAAACAGTTCTT